ATAGCATTATTGAAAGGCTTCTTTCTTGCGAACTTTGGATTGATTTCTTTTCGAGATAGATTTCTTTTCGAGGCATTGCAAAGTAAAGAGGGGCCTCTTTTCAAAATGAATGCTGTAAATTACTATAAAACAATAAATAGGGCCACTGTATCAGTCTGTATCATTGAGTGTATTAATCGGCATTAAAATCACCTAAACTGTTGTGTAAACAAGCGTCTTTTTAATATATTTCGTTGCTTTGAAATTCATGTACAGTATATGCAGGCCTACTGTACTATCTCGAAAAGAAAAAATGGGAAATGGGCTTCTATTCCAGACTACTTTTGCAAACTAAAGAGGGGGCTACAATTCGAGATGGGCTTCTCGAGATTAAGTCCATTGGGCTTGTATACGAGGCTTTACCGTATTGTACCATGACTTATTTATTTAAAAAAAAATTTTCGCAGATCTTTTTGTTAAAATGCTAATCTACTGCTAGAAAAATACCTTTAATAATAAAGCAACACATTGTTGTGTAACCATCATACAATTAAATAATTACAAAACATAGCCATACTATAAGAGAACAAAAATAAAATATAGCTTTTAGTTGTAGACATTATTATCATAATGACAGTAAAAAGTTTAAAACCAGTAACAAATATTTTAATTACATCCACCATCTCGAACCAATCATTGGAATTAACTCACCGGAATTTAATTTCAAAAACACAATAGAGGCTACAAAGCTTTAGAAATTCAACAACCTATTTAGAGCAATGCTTCTACGATAATTAGTTGTCCTCATGTTTTCATTGCATTGAAATGCTGTATGACAATAGAGCAGATAAGGCGTTGCCGATTGCGATACAATCTACAGATGCACGGGCCTAGGCAGATAATAATGTATAGTTTTACTCTCCAGGAACTCGTCTTTAAAAATCATTACACTTGTTGCCATTACCTTAAGTAAACATAATATAATATAAATAATATTAATGTTTTCAAAATAGGCTGTTGCTCCTCTCAAAACGCTAGATCAAATCAGTTTTTCATTTTCAATTCCCACCCCTTAAATTTCGTTGTTAGGTCACATACACATACAGTACTTTACTGTACAGTAGTAGGCCTATACGATAATTAGTTTTCATCAATTTGCATTGCAATGAATTGCGTGTACAGCAACATAATAACATATACGGTACACGTTATCGGTGGTGATTAAATCTACAGATACACAGCTCTACATTGCAGATGATGATGATGATGATGATAGTTGTTGTCCAGGGACCTGTCTTTAAAAATTATTACACTTGCTGCTATTGCCTTACCATAATAAGAGAGTATGAATAATAATTATTACATAATACCCTGAAATTTCTTGCCTTTTTTAATAATCCCAAAAGTGGTTCTTAATTGGAGAGAGACCTACACCAATAATTTTAAAGACTAGGGGACAGAAAGAGAACCCCATCGAAGACGGTAAGTAGAAAATTATGTACAGAATAATACAGAGGTCCAGTCTTCTTTTTGTACGTGTAATAACGACATTTTGCATCCTGCCTTTTCCAATAAACAGCCAGTAAATGATTGTTGTAACATTATAATTCAATTCACCATTTACAAAAGCTTTACAAAGTCCATCTCATGAATTTAATTACGTAATTACGTGCACACAATTTGAGGTTACAAAGCTAAGAGATTTTAATACTATAAATAGACCTATTAGAGCATTGCTCCTACTTTCAAATTGACAATAATAACAATCATTAGATTGTATTTATTGCATGACCTTCATAATTATTCGCAAACATTAACGCTGTTGATAGGCGGATAAGTGCATTTAAATTACGATAATAATAGTTTTTGTCACAATTATTATTATTATTATTATTATTATTATCATCATCATCATCATCATCATCATTACCATAATAATCTTGCATTTGAGAAGCGTTGAATAAATATCAAGATAATATTCACAATGGTTAATTACCAGTGATACATTGCATTTTAATTTTTTCCTAATTTAGTGTAATATTACATTAATTTTTATTAATTATTAAAAAAAACTATCCTTCCTAATTTAAAAGGTAATTTCTTTTCATTTTCAAATGTCTTTCCAAAATTACAGTTAATGACCTAGCAATTGACCTATTCAATTATGTTTTGCCTTAGAACATAGTACTGTTTAATACATAATGCCGTAATTCTGCCACATTACGGCATTACTTATTATGTTATTACTTATTTCAACCCTCTTGTGGAATAATAATAATGATAGTGATGGTGATGATGATGATGGTGATGATGGTGATGGTGATGATGATGGTGATGGTGATGGTGATAATGATGATAATGATGATGATGATGATGATGATGATGATGATGATGATGATGATGATGATATAATGTAACTATTACCCCTACGTGCCAAATTGCTAAACAAATTAAAGCTAACAATTACTCCTGTATATAAATTATTTCTACCTTCGCCAAGGATGTCTGTCTGTTTGTTATTTAGTTTGTTTGTTAGCAGGATTCTGCATAAACTAATGAATGCAAAATCGTAAAACTTATTGACGAGGTACTACTATTGGATAGTGGTCTAAATCGACGTTCCGCAAACTATGGTCCGCGGCCCAAACTTGGGCCTCGAAACATTTTTGGAGTACCGCGAAGCCGTCTGGAAATTGAAAAAAAAAACAAAAAACAGAGACATTTCATCATGGAGAAAATAGTTTTTAATAAAGCCGCTTCATTGTTACAGCGGATGCGTCGCTTGCACACGCTGCTAAAGTGCCAGATATGATGCGTGTTATTTGAGTTATAAGTGGTTTTTGTGTCTATGCCCACTCGGGAGCTAGACACTATGTTATCGTCTAGTATTAACCCTGTAAGATCGAGTAAAGCTGGTATGGAGGAATGATGGGATGAGTCATGAGCTAAAGATAAAAATAAATATAAGACCTATCTTAGAAAGATCACTACAGTAAACAACACCACACATTTCTTGATAACCGAATGCCCTGTGGATACTTTATTGCTAAACATAATACCTGTATTAGTAAGGTAGTCTTTCAAAGTTGCGGAGTAACAGAGTACGCGTAAAAGTTTTTGGAAGAAGGAGAAAGCTATGACGTGGGTGGTTGAACCGTGTTTGGTTGAATCATGGTAGAAAAAAAAACAATCAGCAATTGTCGGGGGTGGGGGGTGGTGGGAAAGACAACTGTACGGTATTATTTATTTAATAAAATAATATTTAATTTGTATACAATGAACTTTTATCACTGAGAGAACAGATAATGATGTCAAAATATTGTATATACATGGAGGCTTCATGATCAAAAGTTCTTGCCAGGTTTTGGTATGTTGGTCCCTGGCGCGGCTGGGCTGCTGGGCCGCGGCTTGTTGCCTGGAATCGTAAATAGGCCGTGAAGTAAAAAGTTTGCGGAACGCACGTGATTAAATAAATTTGGAGGGAAACGGACAGTGGTTAAGGTCACAGAAACAAATTTCTTATTTTTTCCTTTATTATTTAGTATTCAGACACAGAGCGGGGAATCGGAGATGCATTTGTCCCTTTCGCCCAAACTTGAGCCACCGTGCCAAACATTATGAATGCGTACATTTTACTACATAATTTGGGGCGCGGCGGCTCATTGTTGACACGGCGGTTTTACGAAAGGGCAAAATACGGCGAGGATATGCACTAAATGGATTGACAGCTATAGCTAATCATTATGATGAAAAAAATGTGTAGTCTGCTATAGAACAATAAAAAAGATTTCTTTCTAATCTTTATCATTCTATAAAGTTCTTTTGGATGGTTGAGGGCGTGAATGACGTCAATTCCTGGCGGTTATATATAGCCCGTTACTAGAAATCTTATTTACACAGTTTATCCTCCCATTTTACAAGCAGTACGATATTCAGATACATACACTACTTTACATGACATCTACAATCAGGCGCATTTAAAAAAAATGATGATTAATGCTATGTTTGAACGGCAATAGAGAGCCAAATAGTGTTTACCTAAACAGCTAATTCGAGAACTATGGATCTATAAAAGGTACGTGCGGTGAGCCAACGCAGATGTCTAATTGGGTTGTATCACAGACATACTTCTTGGCGTTTTGACTTTTTGTAAAGAGTGCTTTACAAGCCTAAGTACAACTTGCCATTTTTGCAAAATTTGCGATTGGAGGAACACTACTGTAAGTACAGTATTATTATAAACATTATTTATCTTAATTCTTCAACTGTAATAACAGATAGTCAATACTTGTTGAAACAACTTATTCTTATTCACAATATTTTCTTACCTCATTCTTATACTGCTTTCGTTTAGCATCATCATTATCATCAGCATCGTTACATCTTATCATAAATACTTATCATCATCACCATCATTATCCTCATTATCATTTTCTTCTTCATTCTCTTCATTTTTTATGTAGAAGTTAGTACAATTTATATTATGTATGTATATAGGGATTATTTATAAGCCCATTAC